GAGTGGTGGTGTGGGGAATGTAGGGGGTGGGGGGGTAGTGTGGGGGCAGTGGGGGAGTAGGGTGGGGTGAAGATGGTGCTGGGTGGGGTGGAGGTGGGGGTTGGTGGGGTGGGTGGGTTGGAAGGTGGGCTGGACTGTCTTGCTCTCACACCACAGGAAGCTAGAAGTTTAGAAAAGCCCTAAGTACCTTAAATTCCAGACCCTGTCCCCTGGCAGTAAATAGGTGAAAGGTCACATTCCTTGCTGTTTAAGAAAGGACCTTGAGTACATGATCCTGGCCTCATAAGATAATAGGAAATGAGCTTTGTCACCCCAACTGGGAGCCTGCACAAATTCAGACCTCCGGGGCTATAGAAAACTGATTGGCCTATAAAACACGGGCTTGGATAACTTAAAATAATTGGCCTAAAAACTATAAAATGGTTTAAATTGATTGGCCTGCACCACGCAGGCTCTTGATGCTTCAGGATGATTTGGGGTGTCGCCTTTCCTGAGTCAGAGCGTGAGGGCCCACGCTCTGCGAGTCTTTCATTGTGACCTCAGGGCCACTTCTCTTACCTGTGGCAGGTGGTAAGGGGTGAGGGGTAGAGTGCTTCCTTCCCTCACCCATGACACACAGGGCAGATGACTGACTGACGGGGTGCAGGGTCAGCTTTCCTGCCCTCATGCCCTCAGGGTCAGCTCACCTGTGTCCCTCAGCTCTAATGTGCTTCCTAGGTAAGGCGCACACCCGTAGTGAGGGGTGCACCATCTTTCCCAAGTGTGGGGGCAAGCTCTCCCCTGAGGGGTAGGGTCAGCTTGTCTGCGGTTATATCCATCAAGGTGCAGGACCAGCCATCTCAGAGCCAGTGAAGGGTGGGGCTGGCTCAACCCAGAATGGGTCCAATGACCCCCGTGCTAACATGGGTCTTAGACATCACCACAAACCCCAGCTGCAGCAGGACCATGGACCCAGACATGGCCCTTGACAGCATCTCAAGCACAGGTGCCACCATGACCTTGCTGTCTGCACAGGCCCCTCAAATCAGCATGGCCCTGGCAGCAGCATGGTCCCAGGTATCTGCAGAGCCCTTGGTGGCAACTGCAGTCTCTCCATGGATGCAGCCCAGACCCCAGACATTTATGTGGCCTTTGGTGGCAACGTGGACCTTGAACATCAATACAAACCCTGGCTGTAGTAGAACCACAGACTCAGACATGGCCATATCTGCTAGAGCTCCAGATACAGGCACCAGAGTTCTGGGAACTGTGCTTAGGTCCTTTGCAAGAGCAGCATGAGCTCTTAACTGCTGAGGCATCTTAGCCCTATGGCCTTAACATTAAAAATAAAAAATAAAGATTTACTTTTAGTATTTTTATTTAGGTGTATGGGTGTCTGTGTAAATGCATGCTACATGCATGTGGGCGCTCAGGAAGCCAGGACAGGACATTGGATCCCCCAGAGCTGGAATTAATATGCTGTAATGAGTCATTTGGTACAGATTCTGGGAACAGTAATCCGGCCATCCTGAAGAGGAGCAAGTGTTCTTTTGTTTGTTTGGTTGGTTTGGTTTGGTTTTTGAGACAGCAGGTGCTCTTATCTGCTAAGCCATCTTTCCCTTTCCCAACCTTAAAATTTTTAACAAAAACCCTACGGCTAACATAGTACTTATGGGTGAGCAACTGAGTGCTTTCTCACTTAGATCAGCAAAAAGGCTAGGATGCATCTGGCCCTTGCTACTGTTTTCCTCAACAGCACAAGAACAGTTCGATGCTGTTAAATGGCATCTGCAATGAGCTGGGTGGAGAGCCAGGAGGATTACAAGTTTGAGATCAGCCTAGAATGCATAGCAAAACCTTTTCAAAAGAAGCTTAAAGCAAACAAAAAGAACAACAAGTAACAAAATGGCATTTTCTCTGTATTATTAGAAGGACAACTCTTTTACTCTATACCTTTATTCTTTGTGTTTGTCCACATGTGTAATGCATGTAGTGTGTGTGTGTGTCTCTCGTGCGCACAGGAGTATACAGTGCTTATGCATGTGGTTATACGTGTGGGTGCACATCTGCCTTCAGTGCTCATGAACATGTGTATATTTGGAGCCCAGGGGTTGTTTTTCTCATTCCCGCTCCACCTTATTGGAGTCACAGTTTTGTATCAGCCTTGAACCCTGAGCCTGGAGCTTACTGGTTTAGCAATATTAGGCCAGAGAGAATCAGGGTTCTGTTTGTTTCTCCACCAACCCCCAGGACCATAGACGTGTGCCACCATGCCTAGATCTGACATCTTGTTGGGGAGCCCAATTCAGTTTGCACAGCAAGCACTTCACTGACTGAATTACCTCCAAGCCCTATAGCTTTCATCTTAATGGGAGAAATCTTGTTCTATTATAAAATTCTATTTTTAATTTAATTATGGTACCTTAAAAATAATTTCCAAAATTAACTCTGATTCCTTCCCCTAGGTATGAGTAGCTCTCAGATGTTAACAATATAAAAGGGAATTTTAACCTAAAGCTTGTAGCCTGAGTAGTCACTGCAAGAATTTAGTCAAGGTCATAGTTAACTCTAAAGCAGATACTAAAATGCCATGTTTATATTTGATGAGATCCTTCCAGAGTCTGGAAACCGAGGCCCAAAGATTCTTTTTAAACTTGTCCAAAGCCATATAGCTATCACTTAAGTATTTATATTTATGTTACACCACCATATTTCCCTCTTCCCATGAAGGCATCCAATCTCTGTATTCTCTCTGCTTTACCCTCTATTTCAAGTGAGTTTGTATTCAATTTGAAATGATATATAAAGATGAGTGTCAGTTCCTAGATATGTTTTCTTAATTGGGCTGTTATTCAGGACATCTTTGTATGAAATACTGGCCCGAGATATGTTTTCTTAATTGGGCTGTTATTCAGGACATCTTTGTATGAAATACTGGCCCGTCGACTCTTATCTTGTCTCCCACTCCTTCTTCCTTATGGTTTAGTTAAAACTGGCTTACATGCTTGGGAAACTTGCATCAAAATGGTTTTCTATTGAAAAGTTTCTGGCCCTTTGTGGATTTTTGTCTTTGCTGTTGTTTGTTTCGGGGTTTCCCTGCAGCCCTGGCTCTGCTCTGGCTCCCCACCCTCCTGCCTTTGCTTCTTGAGTATGGAAATCACAGACCTGACCTTTAGGTTTTCCTATTTTGCAGGGGACAGCAGTACTTACTATGTTATTCAACAAATGCCCTTTACTTCATACTACTTCATTTAAGCTTCACAACTGCTCCCCTAAAATGGCATCTGTTATGATAAAGCATGTGGGGGACATTGTGTGGTTTCCATAACAGGCGAGGGTGACGAAGGTGGAGGTACAAACAAGCCAGGCAGACAGAGCTTAAGTGAGAAGTTTTATTAGAAAGGGGAGGGAAGGGGGAAGGAAAGAGAAAAGAGGTAAAGACACACACACACACACACACACACACACACACACACACACACACACACACACACAGAGAGAGAGAGAGAGAGAGAGAGAGAGAGAGAGAGAGAGAGAGAGAGAGAGAGAGAGAGAGAGAGAGAGAGGGCAGAAGAGAAGAGGAAGACAGGAAAACTCCTGTCTGCCCCAGGGGAACAGCAGGAAAGAGAGAGAGAGAAAGCAGGAAAGAGAACAGGGAAAGAGAGAGCATAAGTGGGCGGAGGTCTTTTCTTAAAGAGGGGTCCTTTGTACCTGGGCTGACTAGGTTACTGCCTGAGTGCATCCTGCCCAGTGAATTCTTACAGCATTGCTCAAATCCTTTTTTTTTTTTTTTTTTTTTTTTTTTTTTTTTTTTTGATTGAAGGGTCTGAGACACAAGTGAAATAATTTCCCAAACACACACAAATAATGTGTGGAAGAAGGAGAACTCAAACCTATCGGGGTCGGATCTAAGACCTACTTCTCCATTCTTCTACCTTAGTAGAACTTTGAGCAATGGAAAGGAAATTTCTTTAAAAACTCAAAAAATAGTTTGTTCGGATTTTTAAGATACTGGTCATGTTATAACCTTCATAAGCGGAAGTCTTCACATTTTTTAATAAAGTAACTGTAATGTCAAGGTAGTTATTGGTGTGTAGAAAGTGCTATTCACCAAACACTGTTGAATTAAATCCAAATAAATGATAGCTTCATTGGAGTGGCTGTTTGTTTATTGGCAAGAAAGCAGCCACTTTGAATCGTCTAGTATCTTCTCCATATGGCAAGTAATGGAGAGAAGACATGTAATCGAAAGTCAAACAGGCTTTTAATTCACTAAGGAAATTCAACTGTGGTGTTGACTTCGCCCTGTCTTGCAACTGCCTCTCCTCAAACTCTTTTGTTGTGAAAATCCTGACGCTGGGGAAAATTTCGGAAACAATGAACTTCTTAGAGCAAAGAGAGGGAAATCGTGTTCTGTTTAGAGTCATCATAGTTAAAATCCCTGGTCCCTGTTGGGATCTGTTGGCAGGAACTTGCTCTGAATGGTCCCCAATAGTGAGCATACCAGGAAGGTGGGCAGAGTGATGATGCTGGTCAGCACCACAGCCCCCATCATGGGTACTCACTGGAGTTATTGCAGCTCGGGGAGCACAGGCTTAGAAAGCACTCTTCTCCCCTGACAACTTCCCACAGCCCTGTCACAAACACAAGTGGGGGTGAAGAGGTAGCGTAGGAACTGCAGTCCCAATAGGAAGATGGTATAACAAGATGGGCACTGGCAATAGCAGACATACTAGCTGCAGAAAAGAGCATGTCACTGGTAGAGTGGTTAACACCCCCTCGTCCCCCTCACTCCCCATACTCCTCCATCCCCCACCCCTCTTTCTTACCAAAAAGGTTTGGAACAGGTCTGGCCTGCTCTTCACCAAGCTTTTAGTTCTTGAACTCTTCAGTGTTAAAGAGGTAAATGTCAAGTCAGGCCATCAGAATTGTCAGTCATTCAACCAACCAACAATGGGTAGGTTTATATTTTACTTTATGTTGCATGCACTGTTTATTGAAAATTAAAATGCGTTGCTTACCTTAAATTTTACCTGTCATTCCCACCTCCAATGTAGGCAGTCTCCCAGACAGGGATTCAGGACTAAAGTCCCTTTCAAGAAGATGTACAGTGTCCAAGCAACTTAGTGGGGCCACTAGACAGACTGGCTCTGCCTGGAGACCAGGAATAATTTAAGATATGTGAGGAATGCAACTGGTGGAGTTCTTTCTTCCCTCAGGCAAGATCTCTTATTGTGGGCTGGCCTCAACCTCATTGTGTAGCTAAAAATACCACCTTGTGTTGTGTGGTATTGGAGATCAGCCCAAACTTGGGACTTTATGCATGCTAGGCTGGGCTATCCTTCCCTTCCCTTTTTAATAAATCAAAGTAACCTTCCTAGGATGAACCAGTAGCTGGAGTGGGGCAGCTCTTCACGTTAACCTCCCATAGAATCAGAATTCATTCATGTCACTTCTTTCATGGTAGGCCAAATTTGAGTTGATGTTCCCCAACCTTGCTTTCAGTGGCTTCTGTCTTCCTTTTGCTGAGTTCCTTGACTTCTGATTACTGGTTTGTGTGTCACTGATTGGATTTCCCATTTTCTTTGTTTTTCCACTTTTGAGGATTGTGCATCTACACAAGCACTGTAACAATGAGCTGTATTGAACCCTCATGCCCTGACTCAGGAAAGGCGCCCCCCCCCAATCACTCACGAGAAGCATGAGGTCTTTTATATTCCAGTGCACTGGGGTTCACAGCCATACTCCATGTGGGGTAGAGGACTGGGAACCCGTTCAGGCAGCTTTTATAGGGTTACAACAAAGCCCACGTATCACAAACCATTCATCTCATAGCATCCAGTGTGGACCAATCAATTTGAACTATCCAAGCCCGCACTTGGCCCAGGAAGTCTGCTGTCGCTAGGGCTTCTGGGTAGTGTGGCATGGCTCATTTCCTGTTCTCATTCACTCACAGGTGCTGTTGGTAAACCACCCTGTGGTAATGACCTTTTGCCTACTCACTGCTAGGGGGCAGAGTCTAGGGAGAATTAGGCTAAAATTTCCCATCCTTACAGTATCATTAGCCCACTTGATGTCTCATTTTTAAGATAAAACACTGTCCAAGCTTGAAGATCTCCCTGGACACAGTTCTGACATTCATCTCCTGTGCCTCCCATTATTACCTATTGAGACTTTCCTTGTGCCTCGTGGGACACACTAGATGGGCTGTTGTAATTCAGCCTTACTGCTGAGAGGGGGGAAGCTGGACAGAGTTCTCCATTATCGTGGCTGTCTTTTGTATAGTTTCTAAACGAGGCAGGAAGTGACCTGAGCCAACTGCTTCCAACACTATACTTTTCAAGAAAAGAGCACTTGAGGACAAAAATTAAATTATAGGAATGGAGAGAGGAGAATGAGATGAAGCTATTTTTTGAGCTGTGGCTAAAGATATACTTGGGAAAGGGAGATAACTGTCATAGAGTTCCCAGAAGCGGACTCTGTGTCATGGATTCATGTGTTAAGTCATTTATTAAAGAAGTGCTTCCAAGAGAAGCTGCCAAAGGAGTAGGGGCTGTGGGACAAAGGATGAAAGAGGCTGAGCAAAGCTGAGAATTCAGCACAACATTAATTTCTCATTGCCGTACCACAGACTAATGACAATGATTTTATCATCTCACAACGATTTTCTGAAAAACCCCAAATTCAGTCACAGGAAATGTGTTCGTTTGTCCAGGGTCCTATGTGGCGCTGTGGTCTACCTGAGACGCCTCTCCTTCACTCACAGTTATTGGTAGCATTCATTTTCCTGTAGCTGCAGAATTCACAATGACTTGTTTCTTCAGAGTAGATAGTGCAGCATCTTTTTTGATATTAGGAAAGGTACAAGTCCCCTGTTAAACCTTCACCTTCTAGGTTAGACTTGCCCTGCCCCCCCCCATAATCTCCTTTTTTATGAATCAAAGGCAGCTGATGAGACACTATAGTTATATGTACAGAATCTTCTCACATTTTCCAAATGTGCAACACAATTACCAGAGTGTTATTTTTTTTAAAATCACATCCACAGGTTCTGATATATATATATATATATATCAGGGTGGGGGATTGCTGCCATTTTGGAATTCTGTCTAGAAATCATAGGTATATTTCAAACTTCAGTGTGATCTCTTTGGGAGGCCCAGAGTAGAAACCATACCACAGAAATTGGGAGGGTTTGGTGTAAGGCAGCTTGACTTTCATGTCTTCTCCTAATCAGTAAGACTTCTCAGATGGTACAAGATCCTAAACACCTTGGACTCTACAGTGATGGGCAGAGGCTCTGGTAGTTCCTAGGTAGTCCCATGAAGAAAGTTGCATGTTCAAGGCATTATAAACAAAGGACAAAGGAGAGACACATGTGAATAAGAATGGCATTGTATGCCTACTCCACAAGAAAGAACTCAACCAGACACTGCTTGGGTAACCAAAAACCAGAGACTAGATAACCCAGAGACTTAGGGTAAAGCCAAACACTATGGCTCTAAAAAATCAATAAGATGATCCACAATGGCATTCTGCTATATTCATAGATCAATGCCTTATCCAGTCATCATCAGAGGTTTCCTCTGTTAGCAGATGGGAACAAATACAGAGACCCACGGCCAGACATGTGTCGAGAGAGTCTAAATTAGAAGTCTCCATCAAATCCCTCCCCTCAGAGCTCACTTTGAACCCACTCCTACAGGCTGTCATGTCCTTAGTCTTTCTCCTTATCAACTATTCACCTCGGTCTATGAACAGTAATGAAGCAAGTAGATGGTGATAGTTGTGGTTTGGATGAGAGGTCCCTCCATAGTTTTGGACACTAGAATGCTTGGTCGTTAAGTGGACCTGTTTGGATATGTTTAGGATGTGTGGCTTTGCTGGAGCAAGTATGTCACTGTGGTAGGCTTTGGGGCTTCCAAAGCCACACTTTGTCAACCGGTATTCACTCTCCCTGTTTGCGTTTGTAGTTTAGGTATGAGCTCTCAGTTTGCTGTTCTAGCTCCCACACTTTCCTGCTGTGATGGTGATGGACTCTTAGCCCTCCAGAACTGTAAGCCTAAATAAACCCTTCCATCTGTAAATTGCCTTGGCCATGGTGTTTTATCACAGCAATAGAAAGATAACTAACACAGTGGGGGAACTGGCATATCCCCACACATGCGAGAAGGATACATACCACTTGTGTAGGATTTGTGAACCATAGTAAAAATTACCCCACAAGTCAGTCTGGATTTTATTATCACTGTGTAGTGGCAATTAAAAATAGTGTCCATATTAACCCTATTTCTTCAAGCTAGTGTAAACATGCACTCCAATTTTGGTATCTCTCAGCACAACATAAGGTCATGATGACCTTTCCCAAGACCACTTCTCTCAACACAAAGTAGATAGTCTGATCTGTTCTTTGCACCTGAGCTCCCTGGGAGGAAGGATTTCCTCTCACCACTATTTTCTAGGAGTCGATCTGTGACTCCTTCCAGTGAGCTGGCCCTTCATGAGCTATTACAGTAACTAAGTTCACCATGTCTCTGGCCAATAAGAGGCACCATCTTGCCTTTACTCTTCCAGGATACCATCATCCCCATTGTCATGAAGAGAACAGTGCCATTGTGGCATCTGGGCAGTCAAGACTCCACAATTATTTCAAAGGTTCTGTACTCTCCTTCTTAGTATATAACTGTATAGTATAGTATTATACTATACTATATTAATTAATGCTATATATAATATAGATAATGATATATATGTGTATATATATATAATATATACTTATTACACTTAGTGTGTAGGTGAAAGGAATGTCTTCTGGCTCTGTGCAGGGAACATGGATAACTGGCAGACTCGTGATCTTTAAATAATAGATAGATTAATCCAGACACAGTTTTGTCTCTGAGACTTTGAATACTACACTCAACATTCTGCCAAAGCATTTCTGGCATCCCCATTTCTTTTAATGTGGGCAACCCCACCCCAAAGCTTCCAAAAGCCATTTTAGCACATTAGAATGGATTACATTGCCAGTGCACGGATCTCAAGTCACAGGATGGTACTTTTATATCACTACTCTCCATTGTCCAGCTTTGCATACTGACCTCCATTGTATTCACAGATGGACTCCTGGATTGACTTTCTGACCTTGAAACTCCCTCAGCGAGTACTGTATTTCCTTGGCAGGGTCAATATCCCTTAGTCAGGTCACAGTGAGATTTGCCTCTTACTCTTGGTCTAGTGGCAAGGAAGGGAGTAGGTCACGGAAGCAGAAATGAGTAAGTACTGTCTTGGGAAACACATGACATCTACTTTACCTAAGCCTCTATGTTACCTATAAGCAAGAGATAAACTGCTGTCCTGTAGCAAGAGAATGGAGCCTTCAGCAGACACAGAGGGCTTGAGGTTCTCAAGAGCATCTATCAGCTTTTGCTGTCCTGTCTGTGGTCCACACTGCTCCTCCAACAAGGCCCTGCCTCTGGCCTTGAAGATTTGATGAAGCTGCAAATTGAGATTCCCCTGAAGCTCTGCTACCCTTACAGTTATGGGCTGGCCTGATTTTAAGCACTGCACTGCCCTCTGCTTTCTGGAAGCAGTGATGTTTTTAAGTGGTACCCAGGAGGCTTTCTGACGTTTACACCTGAACTTGCCATTTACTTCAGGGCACCAGTGATAAATAGAGCAGCCATCCAGTTTCACAGTCCATATAATTACCATGCCTTTCATTTTCAAAAAACAAAGAAATCACACAAATCAATTCCTCTCCTTCTTTGTCTTATTCCAGTTTGCCACAGCAAACATCTCCAGTCCACAGTATGACAGGAATTATTTATCTTCCATTTATTCCACTAATGAAGGAGCCCTAGAGGCACATGGCTAGCAATGCTCCAAACTAGAACCCTATATGCCTTAGTTACTTTTATATTGCTATGACAAAACACCAGGACCGAGGAAAGTTATAAAAGGAAGAGTTTATTTGGGGATTATGGTTCCAGAGGATTAGAGTCCATTGGTGCTGGAACAGAAGCTGAGAGCTCACATCTCTAACTGCAAACACAAATCAGAGAGGGCTAATTGAAATTGTGGGAGTCTTTTGAAACCTCAAAGCCCACCCCAGTGGTATACTTCTTCCCACAAGACCACAC